CGTCGAGACGAGGCATACATACGATTATTTCAAGTCGATCATACTATATTAAGTATTCGTTATGAGTTATATAGTTACTTGAGTGTTTATTATTATTATTATCAACATAAATAAATTACGCATTTATCAGGTCAATAACATTTTCAGATTTTCCTCGTTATCTGATTATGATTTATTATTTATTCATAAAATAGAAATCCTAAAGATTTAAACTACACTTCTAGTAAATGATTTTCTAATAACAATTTAATAGTTTTTAACCTGTATATATATATATATATATATATATATATATAAATATATGAAATTATCTTGATTTTACTCAATCAAATTTAAAATGTGTGCACAGCAGGGAATTAATTGATAAACTTCATGATGACACTTTTTTATACATGCGGCTGTTTGACTCATAGTTACACTATCGTATAGTATCGAAAGATAGCATTCCCTTTTTTTACATTCATTTATACTATATATGTAACAAACAATTTTCAATTGTTTTAAAGTATGGGTGCTATTTTTCGGGACTATCCGGTATTTACACGTGTGATATTGATATGCAATGATGACAGTGAAAAAATGGAGGAATCACATGTTTATTACAAAAATTTTTTCCATTTCAAAAAAAAATTGTATGCAACCAGATTTTTTTCTACTGATTGTAATTGTTTATTATAAATGTTTACTTTATTGTACTTTCTATAATAGTAATAATAATAACAATAATTATATTTTCCTTAATGCACATTCTGTGATTTCTGCAGAAAACATCATAATGGGTTGATTATACGCACTAACCAAAAGATAGAAACATAAGTAAAAAATTTCCAAATTTGGTTGGATTATGCACTCTAAAATCACATTATTTTTTAAATGGATATACAAGTAATCTTTAATTGCCAAATGTGATTCTCCTATTGACTTTTAAGCTGTTACAACACAGCCTTCTCTTGTATGATTTGTTATCCAAGTAATTGGCAGATCAGTTGATTTTTATCTTTGGATGATATTTAACTAATTATCGGTTATTTAACAAAAAAAATATTTGAACCGGTTTAAATTGCCAACACTGAAATTGGCAATGATAATAGGTGATATACAGTAAATGGCGTTTGCCGATAATCAAGATCTTTTAAATTTTCTATTTCTATTCAAACAGGTCTGCCCTTTTAAAAATAGTGCCCTTTCTACCTATGTACCTTTAATGAGATACTTTCGAAGAAGGCAAATAAAGACTAGGAGATGCCGAAAAAAATATTTGATAGTTTAAAAATAACTAGTAAATTGTTTATAATGTTTGATGATCTTCAGGCCTTTTGAATCAAATTTTGAGTTGCAGAATTATTATTGTCTAAAGAATATAGAAGCTTTAATTTTGATTTTCGAATTTTCGAATTTCGATTTCGCTAATATTAGTATTGGCATTGGTATTGTTATTGGGGTAACTTGATTTTGAAAACTAACATGTTTTTTCGAAAATTTCTGATTGATCGAATGTATGATTTCACCGTAGGGAAAGAGCTTAAAATAGAAGCTGGTTCTTTAAACCTATGCCCGTAGATCTAGTCGCTTGTAGGTGACGCACTGGAAATCACAAAATCGTTATTTTCTGAGTTATAGTAACTATCCCAATCAATTCACTAGCAATCTCTGGTAGTCGAGTGTTTAAAATTAACTTGCTTCTTGCAAATAACCCTAGTTCGAAGGAAAAGATACTTCAACAATCCATTGCCCGAATTTACTATGTTTTATTTAGTTGAAGTTATTTATTATAATAATAAAGGAAAAGGGTGGATGACGACTAATGGGGGGAGTGAATTTAAAACCTTTTATCATTTTTTGTTACACATGCATTCAAATTCTCTAATTGTTAAATTTGCGGGCGGCTATTAATTTTTTTATATATAGGTTCAAAAGTCCTAACATCTATTGCAGGTTAGACATTCCCCATAATATTCTTTTCTTTTATCATTTGGGATAAAAATTTGAATTCTTCGTTGTTCAAGTTTAAATTAAAAATGTCATATAATAAATTATTACTACCAGAAAGAGAGGAATTCGTGTTTAAAATTTATAACAAAATGTATAATAATGTTTTTGTTAATTCTGATAGAGAAAGCATAAAAGTGAATTTTTTTTCACTAGTCAAAGAAAATAAGGAGCTTTCCGAAGATGAAGAAGAATATTGTAAAGAAAGGATTTTGAATTAGATAATGCAAGAGATAAATTGGGCAAACAAAAAGAATGTAATAAGTGTAAATCAACAAAGTATTCTGATAGATTCTGTGAAGGTTGTATTAGTTTACAATTACAGAATCTTTTTAGTACTTGGACGTCTGGAAGTAACATTGTTGATATTTTTATTCAACAATGTCAAATGAAATCATCTCTGCCAAGGTATATTTTAGAATGGATACCTTTTGAGCAATTTGAAAACATAACAAAATTAACTGAAGGTGGGTTTAGTTCAATTTATACAGCTATATGGACAAGAGGGAGAATATTTGATTATAATGAAAATGAAAAGGAATTTAGTTATTATGGAAGACAAAAAATTGCATTAAAAAGTTTAAATGACCCAGGAAAACGTTTTTTTGACGAAGTTAGTATCTTTATTTAAATCAAAAATAAATAATGCTATTCTATAATGTTGATTGATTTTATGTTTAATTACAGGCAATGAATTATTGTAAAATTAAGTCACCACTGATTGTTGAATGTTATGGTATAACTAAATTCTCTGATAATGGAAACTATGCAATGATTCTTTATTATCATTCAGAAGGAAATTTAAGGGATTATCTACAAAAAAATCATTCAAATTTAACATTAAAAGATAGGATTACAATCTTTAGTTATTTATGTAATGCATTATATGACATACATGAAAAAGATTTAATCCATTGTGATTTGCATAGTGGTAATATATTACTGCAAGGAGGTAATTGCTATATTACAGATTTAGGATTATGTGGGCCAGTTGATGAAAAATCATCAAATAAAATCTATGGAATTGTGTCGTATGTTGCACCAGAGTTACTTAGAGGCAAAACAAATACAAAGAACACAAAAGAAACTGATATCTATAGTGTTGGGATGTTAATGTGGGAAATATTTGCAGGCCATCCACCATTTGACAATAGAGCTCATAGTCATCATTTAGTTTTTGATATATGTGAAGGTTTACGACCACCAATATTACCAGAAATGCCTGAAAATTATTCACAAATGATGCAAAAATGTTGGGATGATGATTCATCAAAAAGACCAACCATTAGAGAGCTTTATGATTTTGTTAAAAATAAACTGGAAGAAATTCTTCTTAATAATAATGATTATATTAATAGTAATAATAGTATTAGTAGTAGTAATTCACAACATCCATTAGCATATCATACAAGTAGAATATTAGATGACAAAATTATTAAAATTAAAAGCTTAAAAAGTTATACAAGTAACAACAACACTTCATTAAATAATCTTGATATTAACTCTATTCCCTTAGATGATTTTTTTAATAAAGGTGAATTATAATCTCATTATAGAGTTTCTATTTATAATACATATTCTTATTCAAATCATTCGTTTTATTCATCGAATAATTTGTTTTATTCGTCGAACCATTCGTTTCATTGAACTATTCATTTCATTCATCGAACCATTCGTTTTATTTGTTGAATAATTCGTTTTATTCATAAAATTATTTATTTTATTCGTTGAATTATTCGCTTTATTCGTCGAATTATTCGCGTTATTTGAATAAACTTTTGAATACTCAATTCTTAACAAATAAATAAATAATTCGAATAGAAACCCTATTTCGTTATTAATAACTTAATAATTAATAATTTATTAATAACAGATTTTGTTCAAAATAAATTAGATAAAATATCTAAAGCTGGAGATTTAAAAAACAATATTAATGTGATTTTGGCAGTGGCGATGGTAATAATGGTGGCAGTAGTAACAATAAAAATTCTATTAATAATAATTTACAACGAATACACAAACCATATCCATTGGCCACTCAATGATATTTCGATGCTATCTAATGAGTTTTTAAATATTAATCTTAATAAAGGTGAATTAAATTTTTAGTTTTGTTAAATTTCATTAATTCATTGGAAATTACTAATTATTATCATTATCATTAATAAACATTAGATTCTAGTGATAACAATGGAAAAGATATTGAAAGAATTGAGGAAGTTGATGAATTGTCTATGGATTATTAATTTAATTTTCCATTATAAATTTATTCACACATATATATATTATATATTTATTTATGATATTGGTTATTTGGAAAGTGGAGTCAATGTAGAAAGTGAATAATAATAATAATAATAATAATGATATCAAAATTCACGTAGTAGGAAAAATGTTCATAACGTAATGAGTTTGAAATAATAAAAACAAATAATAGTTGCAACTTTTAAAATTTTTTGCTTCAATAAATAAATTTTTTTCGATTTATCCCTGTCAAAGTTTTACTATGATGACGAAAAATTAACAGAACCAGGGTCCTGGTTTTATTTGATAAACCGGTTTGCATAATCCTAAACCTATGATGTGACTACTACCATCTCTACCTATTAATCTTTTATATGTATGCAAATAATGCAGCACATAAATATCTAAAGGTCATAATTCTGTCTTTTGATGTTAAAAAAGAATTGGAAGAAATGGACATGATTCCGGGTCCAGTCATTCTCACATTGGCTCAAGATATGCTAGATTGTTCAATTAGATCCACTAGCAAGGTAGGTGACGATATCTCACAAAGTTTTCTCTTGTGGACTAATCTAAGTGAAATTAAAGGATTACTCAAGGCAATGTTCCTATTCGAATATTCTAAAATTACTTTATTTAGGAAGATTTACAGATGTGACTACTACCATCTCTACCTATTAATCTTTTATATGTATGCAAATAATGCAGCACATAAATATCTAAAGGTCATAATTCTGTCTTTTGATGTTAAAAAAGAATTGGAAGAAATGGACATGATTCCGGGTCCAGTCATTCTCACATTGGCTCAAGATATGCTAGATTGTTCAATTAGATCCACTAGCAAGGTAGGTGACGATATCTCACAAAGTTTTCTCTTGTGGACTAATCTAAGTGAAATTAAAGGATTACTCAAGGCAATGTTCCTATTCGAATATTCTAAAATTACTTTATTTAGGAAGATTTACATGTGATGCTCGTAATAGTGATTAACTCGAGGATATTGGCTTTTGTGATATAATTTTTGAAAAAGAATATGACATCGATTTTACATGATATTTACTATTTATGTTTTGTAAATGACCCTTTTTGTTGTGGTCCTTGTGGGTTAAACTTTGCATAATAGTTGCTATGAATCAATCGAGAGTGAATTATATGATAACAACTTCATAGAATAGTTTAATCCTCAGTGTTATTATAAAAATTTATATTTGATCAAGCAAGCATTTGGAAAACACGAAGGTTGTAATTTTATATTATTTTTGAATATATCTATTTTGATGAGTATTATTTATTAACCAAGAGGAAGAAGTGTGGTGATTGTGAGTTCAAACTCCCCAAAATAGAAAATTATGCATATGTAAAAAGAACTACCAGATAAAGATGAATTCGGTATTGAAGAAATTGGGAGGACAGTTAGCAATTATAATTCCAATTTGTGGAGCAAATATTTTCACATAAGAATCCCATTAAAACAAAATTGAGAAACTTATTGATGTTCCATGTTATAACAAAAGTTAAGAGTTTTATACTTGAATCATTTTGTCCCCATGCACAGTTGAGATTATTCGCAAAAATTCATCCATAACTGATATTATTAATTCATGTTGTCCGAAAACAGTACAGTTTTTCATTAATTCTGGATTAAAAAACGAACTATAATAATAACATGTCATCTTCATACGGTCCATTGTTCATTACATTCAAATGGCTGAGCTGCTAAATAGAGTTGGTCAAAAAACCCCTTCAAGCTTGGTTCTATTTCTTGGAGCAATCTTTGTATTTCATCAAAATCGTATATAGGACCTTCTTTATTTGAACATTCTCTTTCATAAAGATTTTTGGCCATCATCTTGATGGCTCTAGTGAAATCAATCTTTTCACTTACTTCTTCCTCTTCCTCTTCCTCTTCCTCTTACTCTTCCCTTCCGCATCTGTGGTTTTCACTCTCCTAGGTTATCTTTTTAAAGGATTTTCTACAAATTCATATAACAAATGTTACATAAAACAACATGTTACTTTCACTAAGTTGTTGTTCTTTCCATTTATTGCCTTTCAGTTGACGAAATTTAGCTGATTCAGTGGTTTTATATTCTGTGCAATGTTTAATTTCAGGCATTTTTCTTCAAATAAATCATATTATGATAGTTGTGGGATTCAAAAGATATAATATTTTCCAAGTGTAAAAAGCTTCAAGTTTGTGCAATTATTTACATATGATTTATTGCTACGTGATACCCTTGTAAAAGTATTTTAAACTGTATAAAAAAAATTGAAAATTCTTTCCTTATGCAGGACGGTCTCTCCTGTTATGTTTAGTAAAAATGGGGGAATTGGTCAATGAAATACTGAATTAAACCAACGAATTATAAATGGTTTTTGTAATATTTAATCTAATGTTACAAGATTAAATGCGGATTTATATCATGGAGAGTTTAATGTTAAAATACATCTTGTGCAATTTCTAGGTTTAACGCTATCATTCCATCACAGAAAAATATTGATATTAATTCAAATGTTTCTTGTATAGTCTATATTAATCTTCATAGTATTTGTGTCTCAAAAAAAAATGAAGGCGGTTCGTTCTCATGTTATCAAGTATTATTATTATTATTATGTTATTATTGTATATATTTAAAGGTAGAAGAAACTCATATTACGCAAAATTTTGTATTATTCATAAAGAACATTATGTAGAATTTAACAAGGAATGGACGGAATGATGTGAACAACAATAATAGTTCAACACAAGTATTAGATTCAAGCAGGTTGCATCAAGATAGTGGTGGTAGTGGCGTTAAACAATTTGGTGCTATAAATGATGTAAATGCTAGCTTGAAAAACATTGCTGCTCCAAGTGCGATCCTTAGGCTTGTTAGATTGGAGTTCTGAAAGAAGTATATATAACACCGATGGTATTAGCAATGGTACGGACGATCATGATAGTAATTATTAAAATGCATGGTATAACAATAATAATTATAATAATAAATACTTACAATCACAACCTCAATTTATGTCATATACATTGACCACCTTAATTATCACCATCACGATTACAATCTATATCACAATTACAATATAGTAACTGTTTAGGCAAACCTTCAACAACCTCAACTTCGACCATTAATAGTATACATGCTATAAATTCAACAACAAATGGCTGCACACATCAATATCAACTACAAGAATGACGACTAAATTTGATCTAACACCCAGCAAATACAGCAACAACAACAATTATAATACAACATCTATCACCATCATTATCAGCTATCAACTACAGCAATAATTATTATATCAACCAATTCCAGCAATTCTCAGCCCTCGACAGACGAAAAACCTGGAAAAGAATTTTGTTTAAAGACTGTGAATGTAAAAACTGCTGCAATCATGGCATTCTCTTGCTAACCCCTGCATAAAAATAAGAAAAGGTGGTTTAGGCACAGTTTAATTACATCACTAAGGAAAAAAATTTATTCCAGCTGATGAGAAAACTTTGTTAGAAATACAATGAAAAAAATTCCTAATAAAAAATCATCGTAAGAGAGGTAGGTAATTCATCTCAAAATAATCAGAATCATTCTTATCAATCAAAAATATCACCGATTCTTCTAATTGGAAAAGTAAGCCAAAACAAAATGATACAAATACTTCAAAATCTAAAACAAAAAATAATAACAACAAGAATAAAAATAAGAATAATCTTGATGAAAATAATAATAAATGGCAATAGCTCAAGTGCAAAATCAAAATCTGCTAAAATAATAAGACAGCTTCAAGCAAAGTCAAATCATATCAAGGCAATTGTAATATATCTTTTATTCCTCAAGAATTCGATTCAACTCTATATCCTCCATATTGGAACCAATATTCCTCACCACCATCATTTTCAACACCATTCTCACCACCACCTACTGATGATAGAGTTGACAAATGACCAAACATTAGAAAAAACGCCAAGATGTATTGATAAACATAAACGTAGCAAATAATTAATATTGAACTTGAGAATGGTCATTCACAAACCATTATATTCGTCTTAATGATAATCCTGCTGATTTAGCAAAGGACTTTTGTGATTCATGGAAAGTCATGTAGTTATGCCTGCACTAGAAGATTCAATTAAAGAAGACTTGATTCACTTCAATTATTAAATTTAAATAGAAGAAAAGCTATTGATTATTATTATTGTATTATTATTATAAAAAAATTTTTTAAAGTTTATACATAAACTAAATTATCATTAATCATTGTCTATAATGTTTTTTTCTAATTTAATTCTATTTTTATCTCTATTATCATCATTATTGGAAAAAAAGTTTTTTTTCCAATCTGAATTCCATAATTGTTGAAATAATATCATATTTAAAACATTCAACAAAAACATGCCATAAAATGCAATTTTCCAAATATTGGAATCAAATAAACCATATTCATTCCAAACTCTAAAGAGTAAATACATGTGTAAAAAAATCCTTGCAAAAATAAATGATAATAATAATAACAACGAGTTCAATTTGTAAATAAAAGTAAGTTTTGTTTTATATATTGTCAAATAAAGTTTACGTTGATGTAAAAAAATATTACCAATTTCTACTAATAACGTTGCTGTCAAATATGGGAAATATTTACAAGTTGAGATAGATGAAATAAGCACTCCTACTACTAAAATATGATGCAACCAAATCCCAGGTGAATCCATAAATATATTTTTTATTAAAAAATCAAACATATCTGCAAAAAAATATCCTAAATAATAAAATATTTGAATTAGTATTAATGATAACAATCTAAAGATATTCAGGGATTAATTGAAAGAATAAAGTTTTTACCAGTTGATAAAGGTATTTGAATTGCACATAGTTTTACATTGGAATTAATCATATCATTCCATGCTTCAGGATAATATATAAAACTATTGAAAATCATTCAATGGATTGATTAATTACTTCTTAATAATAACAATAATTTAAATTATATAATTATTATTATTAATTTCATTACCTTGCAGTAGTTATTATAGAACAAATCCATGCATGAATATAACTAACAAATGTGTTATTCCAAATTGATTGTTTTCTTTTATCCAATTTATTATAAAAATCCTGTTAAAGAAAAAAATTATAATTAAATTTTTTTTTTTGATTAACAAATAATATCATTTGTGAAATTACTTAACTGTAAAGTTTGAAACGCAAATTGTTGTCAAATAATTCAGCAAAATGAACCCAATAAATGAATAAATTGAAATTTTTACAGAATCATATATACAATTTCCTTCATTATCAAACATCATCATCATCATCATTATTTGTTAGTTAAAAAAATTATAATTAAAAAAAAAAAAAAATCTTTTTTTACGATGCTTGTAAATTCATTTAAAAATAGGTGTGACAAAAAAAACATGGAAGTTTGGTTTATTGACATCTGAACTTTATTCATATGGTAATAAAAATAAAAGGTAAAACTGATTGATGATGGATTAAACCAAATATTGGAGTTTGTTATTGTGTGAAAGTAAATCTATAAAAAGGAAGGTTTACTGAATGGTGCTAAATTGATTTCAATAAATGAGTTAAGTACATTACTATATTAATATGTATCCCGAAGAAGATTTTTATATTTTTAATAAAATTTGGGGCATCAAAAAATTTAGTAGACCAACTATTACTACTAGGAGTGTTTTCATATACTAATATTAATACATCATAGTAGTTCAGTTTAATATGGGCATACTGCAATAAAACCCAACATTTTGCATTATTAAATTCACCAATGTAATGCGATAATGAACGTTATACAACAATTTTATAATGTCCCGTAATGAATTCATTATGGTGTTTTTCAATCTATTAAAATACCATATTTCCTTAAAGTTTCAGCAGTGGATTTTTTCTCGAGTGGTATATAGAATTACTCCTATGTAAAAATAATTAATATGAATCTCATTTACATTAGATTCACCATGGAATCAAAGAGTTACAGCGCTATTAGAAGTACACAGTGAATCTCGATTTAGTGGACAAGTTTGGCCCAAGAGATTTATCCGCTAAAATCGAAATATCTGTAAAAACAAAGAAATTTGGAATTAGAATTGGCATTTATGATAATCATGTGATATACGTTATATAAATATCGTATAAAAAATTTATGTACTGTAAGTTTGAATTTTCTTCTGATCCGTTTTGTGGGCAACTTTATTATTAAAAGTATAGTTGCAAACTGTTAAAATTTTTTTCTTGATTATGGACAAAGGTGGATATTTCCTTCTCTTTATATAAGAAAAAATTTTCCTATTGTCCAAGTCATAGTTTTTATTTATAAGAAAAAAGTTTTCCATTTCCCAAGTTCTTAGTTTTTTTTTTATGAATTATTTTACATGCCATAAATTTTAATTTACATTTTATTTATTGCATGGTTATCTATCATACCTAATACGTTATTTTTTTAAAGTTTCAAAATAGTAATATTAATGTACATTCAACATGAAAGTAATATCACTTCCATAAACATAATGTTGTAAAGGCGGCGTTGGATGTATACAATATGAAGAAACAGTATATTTTAAACTAAACTATAAAATTAAACTGATCAATAAATATCAGAAAAAAATTTATATAGAATCTTATTTCTGCATGTGTTTTACATACCTACTCTG